ACCATTGAACCTATTTCTAATGCTTGACCCTTTAACTTAACCCTTGAGAAGCGTAACAACCTAACTCTAACCTAAAACCTAACCCTAGACCCTGGACCCTAAAACCTTAACCCTAGTTCCTTGAACACTGACCCTTCACACCTGACACTTTTTTCATGAGCTTTAACTCCTGATCTTTGACCTTTAATCTAACCCTTTACTCTTTATCCTTGATAACTCTAACACCCTTAACAGTCTTAACCCAAAACCTAACCCTAGACCCTGGACCATAGAACCTAGACCCTACATACTTGAACAGTGACCCTTCACATTTGACCTGTAATCTCTGACCCTTAACTCCAGTTGTCTGGGTTATGGAAGTCAAATCTTCCTTTAAGAAATCATGTTTTGGGTGTGTTATGAGGATACAAGGAGTCATTTTGTGTTAGGGGAAGTCCCTTGGCATGCCCGAATCTGTGTCCCAACTACCTTGGACTCAGGGGTAATGACACAATTTGCAGATACCTTGTTCTTAAGCTGTTGGGGGTGGCAGCCTTATTCCTGGCAGTCATGACCATTGCTGATCTTACATCATATTGCCTGTTTCCTGGCAGGTGTTAGGTATCTGCCCCCTGAGTTAGAAGCTTAGATGATTCAGTGTTTCTGCCTTGCCTTCGCCTTACCTGAGGAGCATGGGTAGAAAGGTGTTCTTTATTTGTTTCTTTCTTCTCTCCTTGAAAAATTACATTCTAGGAAAGATTTTCGATCATCTCATTAGATGAAGAAGTTCAAATAGGGCCACTTTACATCTGAGAAGTAGAAATGAAAGGCAGGGGATGTACATTTCAACTGGGCACTGCAAGAGGAACGGGTTGGTCCTTATTGCTCGTCCATGGTTAAGTCTACAGCTTATCCAATCATCTGCTGAAGGACATCTTGTGAACAAAACTAACTGCTCTACAGATTTGTATGCAGGTGTTAGTGTGGATGTATTTTGAAACCAGTTGGATGAATTTCCAGGGGTGGTGTTATTAGATCTTATGGTAAAATTTAGCTCTGCAAGATCTTGAGTCAGTTTTGATAAGCTAGCTATTTTGAGGAATTTTTATATGTCACTAAATTTTTCTCTGACTTATCCTCTTAGAAATCTGTCAGCCCTCTCTGCCCAGGCAACAGTCATCCACCTCCTCCCCGGAAATCCGAAGAGCTTTTCTCCCTAGAGATTTTCACAATTTTTACCCAGGTTTCTTTATTTTCTTTTATGATTTTTTTTTTGTGGAGGGATCTAATAGTCCATGTACTTTTCTTATCTCAGAAAGACTCTTACAAGGAGAAGTGTCTGATTCACTCAATTTCTGGCCTGACATCCCCAGTCTCACTAGCACATACTATACTGGCTAAGTTCATATTTTTTATTGGCTCTTGAAATCACTCCTTTAAATTCTCTGATAAAAGAGAAATATAGACATACCTCAGATATATTGTGGGTTTGGTTCTAGACCACAATAAAGCAAATACTACAATAAACATCTGAGGGAACCACTTAAGTGTGGTTCAGTCTATAGGAACCATTTGGTGATGACACCATAGACACCTGGCCTTAAGGTGCTGAAATGATGTCTCTGGTTAATGGTCATGGTTAATGGTCATGGTTAATGGTAATCTTGGTCTAAACCCCTTCCTGACTGACAAGTACAAGAGCAGTTTCTGGGAACCTGGACTATTAGCTGAAGGGGTTGCTGCTGGGTTAATTCAGTGATCCTTGACTTCCTATGCCTACTCTTCCTCTTTCTCTCCCTCTTCTTCCTCTTCTTCCTTCTTTTGAAATGATGAAACCAAGTTCTTGGAAAGCTTCATGATTATTGGCCAAGACAAGGAAGCTGCAGCAACATCGCTTTAAAATGTTAATACACAAGAGTGAGTCTGCCCTACTGACGGCAGGTAGATTTTGTAAAGATATGAAAGGAGGAGTAACCACAAATGGCCCGGTCACCAGGTATCCAGTGACTGATGTACACCAACCAGACAGATAAGAGAAGATAATGTGGCAGGTGGAGGGTTCTGGAGGCCTTAAGGAGAATAGGCAACAACCAGAAAAAATATTTCAGAAATGACTGTCTTTAAAGACCTAAAACCTGTTTGTAGAGTAAGAGAAAACAAATATATATGATCAGCTTAAGGTCATAGTTTCACCTCCATTTCTGACTTTTAGTGTTCTGACCTAACTCCCTTCCTCTCAATCCTTACTTGTGATGGAGTGAGTGTTAAATGGTATTTTTATTTACATTTGCTTCTTGCAATTTAAAAACTGGTATTATTTTATGTATTTATTTTCTGATAAGGAAATTGCAAGAATTTCTTGCAGTACCAGCAGGCTGGGGCTGTGTTGGGTCAGGTGGGAGGGAGAGATGCTGATCCTGTAACAAGTGTGTTCCCACATTACACAGTAACATAAATTCAGTGCTGTCACTTGATTCCTATCTCAGATTGGGCCTTCTCATCAGCCATAGTTCAAAACGAAATGTTACAGTACCCGATGGGGCAGTCAGGAAAAGAGGCTAGTTCAGGTCCAAGATCTAGTAGAGAAACGGTGGAAAGACTTTTGAGAGTTTACTCTGAAAAAGCAGAAGTTAAACCTGTATCCAAGATTGGAGAACATACCAGGACATTGTTTCCCAAACTCTAGCTATTCCCATAAGGCCCAGTCTACTGACTCCTCACATGTTTCATATAACCTTCTTCATATTTTTATATTTAAAATCACTTTATATACCAACTTTTTGAGTTTCTGACTTCACTGGTCATAGGAAATTATGGCCATGAAATGGCAGATGAAATATTCAAGTTATGTATTTAATGCAGAATTAACATAGACATATAGTCCATGTTTGAGTTTTTCTGTTCCCATCTGAGGCCATCTCCCATAACACAAGTGGTATTCCTGGTTTTGGAGATGCTGTTAGGAATTGAGGACTAAAAAATTTCCCTTGTAGGAAGATGAAACATTTTCAAAAGGCTTTTTATAAATAACTTCAGTGCCTCGTTGTATGGTCACCTCTCATTTGAGGCACAGAAGACCTCAGGACAGGGAGTGTGTGATTCTGAAAAGATCCTGGTTGGTACCTCAGGCACTTCCTGATGGAGGGGGAAGAGCGGAGGGCACATTTCTCAGGAGATTCAACTACCCCCACTAGGTGGGCACCACCGCAACAGTGCACCCTGAGAGCTGGTGTGTCGGTCTGTGGTGCCCATTAACCTGAGAACAAGGAAGAACTGCATCTTGTTCTCTCTACCGTAGGCAACATCTGAGGGAGCCACCTGGGTGTGGTTCAGCAAATAGACTTTAATGAATGTTTGTGATTTTTGTTCGCTTCTCTGCATTTCATTAAATGATGATTAAGAGTTCCTTTAAAAATAAATAAAATAAAATATGAGCTCAAATGTACAACTGTGAGGGCAGTGAGGAGGAAAAGTGCTGAGGAGACTGATTCCCACCCTGAAATCTGCCAGAGTATTTGAATAACAACAGCCAAAGTGTGGTCCCAGGAGATTCCATGTGGCAGAGGGGGTACCGATTCATCAAGAACAAAGGAATTGGCTCTGTGTCCTCTATTTGCAGAACCAAAACAGTGCAGCTAGGACCAGGGAGGTCACCTTTTACTGGATGTCCCTAGTATCATGACGGGGAATCTACTGAGATGATCTGAAGCCTTACCCCGGCCCGTTTTAGAAGAAGAAAAGAGGACTTGGGTCAGCAGGCCATAAGATCAAAGCCAGATGCACGAAAGGACATTTGGGGTAAAGAGAAAGGCTCACATACAACAAAATGACAACCAGCTGAAGTGGAACAGGGCAGAGAGTTTTATGACTCAAGGAAGGTGAACTATGGGAAAGGGCCTTCTCCCCTGATAAAAAAGGAGAGCCTTTGGGCCCCATTTAGAGAATCCCCCAAGTTCTCCCGCAGCCCCAGGTCACTGGCTGAGACCTGAGTCAGGGCCTCCGTGAGTCATGAGCATGGAGCTCAGTGAGGAAAGTCTGGAGAGGATGCATTCTGTTTTCAGCGTCCCTGTCAAGCCTGTGTGGATGATTTGCCTTTTGGGTGGGAAATGATTGGACCAGGTCAGTTTAGGGCTTCACCTCCCCCTGGGTGGAGCGAGCACAGGCCCTATAAAGAGGCTGCCTGCGGTGCCACTGCCATCCTCCAGTGCCACTGCCATCCCCCAGTGCCACTGCCATCTTCCCGGCGGCGAGTTCTGATCTACGTGGAGAACGCGGTGAGTCTGTTTCTATAGAGTTCAACTGCTTTTCTGGTGCTTTCAACTGTTGCATTTACCTAAAGACAGCAAGTTTGGCATGTCCTACATCATGATCCTGGGTTTGATGCTACTCATTCGAGGAAACCTTAGAATGGGGTGCATTGATAGACTGTTTTCACTTGTTTTTAGGTAATTGGATTTCCTGTACAAAAAAAACAATAAATAATTGGGAAAACTTTGATATAAAGGAGAAGAAAGACAAAAGTATTTGTTGTTGTTATAGTTGTTGTTGTTGTTTTAATATATATATTTTGGTGTCCCTTTCATTCTCGTGTGAATTCAAAGGCTCTTTGCCTTGCTCCTGAACAGCCCTTCGTTGGGTGCCTAAGTCAGCCTATGGGGACCTCACAAGAGATAATGACGACAGGAATTGCTCATATGTAAGGTTGCCCATATTAGTACTTGTGATGGACTTTTCATGAAGATGTTATTTTCATACAAAACCTATGACTTTATTCTTTCAGCAATGTGTTCTTTGGAAAAATGGTAAGCAGAAAGACAAGTCTTTCTCAGGGCTGATGAAATGATTTTATAAAGATGAAGGAACAGCCAGAGAGTCTTAAAGTGAACTTAAGAGATAAAAGCATAATTCTTTGAGACTGGAGAGATGAATCTCAAGGTATTAGATAAGGTTCTCTCTCTCCAGGAATGCCTTCTTGTGATCACTGTCATATACTTTTGTTCAGGTTTTAAGACTCCAGAAAGATGTCTTACCAGCAGCAGCAGTGCAAGCAGCCCTGCCAGCCACCTCCTGTATGCCCACCGAAGTGCCCAGAGCCATGCCCACCCACAAAGTGCCCTGAGCCATGCCCACCCCCAAAGTGCCCGGAGCCATGCCCACCACCAAAGTGTCCTGAGCCATGCCCACCCCCAAAGTGCCTGAAGCCATGCCCACCACCAAAGTGCCCTGAGCCATGCCCACCTCAGCTGTGCCAGCAGCAATGCCCACCTGTGCAACCTCCTCCGCCATGCCAGCAGAAGTGCCCACCCAAGAGCAACTAACAGTTTCAGCAGGGACAGGGAAGAATAAGGACAGCTGGCTCACCTCGTTCCCCAGCCCCTCCTTCATCTTCTCTTCAGAGCCCATCATGGATGCAGAAGAGGCTCTTCCTCCCTTCAGTCTGATGTGCCCGTAACGATTCCTGACGGTGAATGGTTTTCTTCCTGAGTCTCCTCTGGAAGGAAAGGAAGCTGAGAAAGGGCAGTCCTCCACTGCACCCGTGTTCCGTTCCCCAGCTTCAGAAGGAAAAGCAGCAGCTGTCCTCCTGAGGGGGAGGGAGGGCCACAGAGGGTTCCCTCACTGGCTTCTGTGTCTGTGATCTTGTGATCTGGGCAGAGGGCTCCTACCACCTGAGCAACTGTACCTATTCTTCCATTTCCTGAATAAAGCATATCTGTGATGGGATTATATGTTTTTTTCTTCTTTTAAACTTTAAATTCACTTTCCATTTACTAAAACAGCACAGAAAAGAGATCAAAGTATGTCATTTTGACACCTACTTTGAGAGATGCCCTGAGAAGTAGAGAGAAATGGCTCTGCTGCTCCACCTGTTCATGCATTCACGGTTGCTTCCTGTATGAGCCCTGACTGGAGAGGAAATCCGCAACCATGTTCCAATCAACAGAACTATTCAGATAGGGCAGCTTTTTGTCTTTTAAATATTTTTTTAATCCTCACCCAAGAAAATGTTTTTATAATTTTAGAGAGAGAGAGAAAGAGAGAGAGAGAGAGAGAGAGAGAGAGAGAGAGAGAGAGAGAGAGAGAGAACATGGATGTGAGAAACATTGATTGATTGCTTTCTGAACATGGCCCAACTGGGAATCGAACCCTCAACCTAGGTATGTGCTCTGACAAGGAATGGAACCTGTTCCCCTTTTGGTCTATAGAATGATGCTCTGAACAACCAATCCACCCAACCAGGGCCCAGCTGGGGCAGTTCTTGAGGGTATTAATGAAGAAAATGTGAGCCTAGATTAAAAGACTTTGCAATTTCAAGAATACAAACTTGGTGTTCCTTTTTTCTTATTTCCCACGCTACCCATTTCATGTGTGGGCAATGCAGCTCACTCAAGAAGAATAATTTTATAGGTATATACAAGACCCAGAGAACAATGAATAACCGATTCTCTCCCAGAGAATAGTAGCAAACCCAATAAAGGCAAAGAGGAGACTGAATACAGAAATTCTTATACTTTGCTATTCTTTTGAATAATGATTGTTTTCTTCTATCATCCCCCAACCCCCAGCTTTACCAATGTAAAGTTGATAAATAAAATTGTATATTTTAAAGTAAATAACATAAAATATATCTTAAGTAAAGGTAAAAATGGAAATAATAAAGAAATAAATGAATAAAAAGTAGGAAAAAAGGAATTAATAAACTAAAAGTTGGTTCTTTGAAAAGATCAGTCCACTTGACAATTTTATAGGTAGACTGACCAAAAAGAGAAAAGACTCAAGTTGCTGAAATTAGCAAAGAGAAGAAATCATTACTGACCTTATAGAAATAAAAAGGGTTGAAAGAATTCAGAGGGAGACAAGGCACTCAGTGATGGTGAGATCATTTTAGGAAAGGAGCCTAGATTCTTTTATGACTGCATGGAGCAAGAGCCTTCCCAAATAATGCTAGACTTGGACATAACTAAGAAATTACTTCTACTGGACCGAGCCACAACAATTTAAGGAGTGTTTGTTATAGCAGCTAGCCTATGCTGACTAATAAATTATATGATTAGGACACATTTCTTTGTTTGTTTGACTACTTTATTTTGATGCTAGGTGGCACTGTTTACTCTGATATGATAGTAGCCTTTACCTACTGATAAAACAAGAAGACAGATTAATAAAACTTTTAGGATGAACATTTTTCAAATAGGTTTTAAAGAATGTGGTCAGGTAAAAACATGATGATCAAAACTATCACAATTGTTTGCTCATGGTTTTTTCATTATTTCATTTACAACCTAAGGAAAAATACATCTCTTTATACTTCTGCAAGAAAATTTGCTGTGCTCCCCAGGAATATAAAAAGAAACATAGAAATATTCATGCTTGATGTAAATATGAATATATATATATATATATATATATATATATATATATATATATATATGGCTGACAATTCTACCATGCTTCATTTCTCTGTAAACATTTTATATGAAATATATTTTATTGATTTTTTACAGAGAGGAAGGGAGAGGGATAGAGAGCTAGAAACATCGAAGAGAGAAACATCTACCAGCTGCCTCCTGCACACCCCCCACCGGGGATGTGCCCACAACCAATGTACATGCCCTTGACCGGAATTGAACCTGGGACTCTTCAGTCCACAGACCGATTCTCTATCTACTGAACCAAACCGGTTTTGGCATCTGTAAATATTTTTATATTCTAGGAAGATGGGGTGGTGGGCTTTCCAGTCCTCACTGCCTGTGCTTCCTGCTACACTGTGTGTGAAGTGATCAGTTTGCATCCTGAGGATACAGTAGATCAGCTTTGGTGTGCTACTCTGGGAAGCCCCCGATCTAGCTTGCAAGGGTGTGTACGTGTGTTTGTGTGAGGGGTTGGGTGGGGAGTGAAGTAAATCCCTCTAGATGAATGGAAATGCCCTAAAGATCCTCATTCCCTTCCTGGCAGAGTGGGCACTCAGCGAATGGGAGAGGAGTTCAACATGGAGGCTGTGAGTCCTGGTGTATGTTTGAGAAATACAGTCACAGGTACAGAAAAAAAATGAGCGAGGAGGAGCAGCCTCACATATGTAGGAACAGCATCCTTTGAAATAAACAGAAATTGGCTAGATAAGTGAGCAATCTGAAGGCCAGGTGCAGGGGCAGGGCACTCAGGGTTAGACAGTCAGCGTCAGCGCGGACGGGCACGAACTAGACTCCAGTGTGACTCACTGAGTCGCAGGAGGCGAGCCCTGCTCCAGCCTTGGTTGCCCAAGGAACAGCTTCTGGGTGGCATTACACAACCTCCCAATGCCAGCCCAAGAAAAGTCAGCGGTGGGGTGGGGGGGTGGGGAGACCCACCACCCACCTACTAGCAGGACCCAAAGACTCTGAAAGATGCCCTTTCTCACGAACCTGTCTGGGAACAGGTCCTATTTTACAAGGGAAAGGAATAAAGACATTGAGTCAGATCACGACACACACACACACAGTCAGGAGTGAAATGGAAAGTGCATTTAATGGGGGCAGAACAGAGCTGATCCGCATGTTTGCACCTTAAGCCCCTCTTCAGATGAATCCTGGGCAGCTGAAACTAAGGTTCTAAGGTACCAAGACCCTCAGCCTCATTCAGAAGCTCAGAGGCCCAGAGTGCTCGGGAAGGAAGGTTTCATAGGACATATGTTTAGGGGGGCAACTGAGGGAGGACTGTAACTCAGGGTGACAGCATGCTAATTACAAAGAAAGTGGCACTCAAGCAGAATGGGAGAGGGGATGCAGCACTTGGTGGTTGGTTCTTCAAGGGCATGGGTCACATTACTTCTGCTTGGTCTGCTGAATTGGCGCTGGGATGACAGTTGAGGGACACGGCTCAGGAACCTTGGTGTGGCAGGGCTCAGGAACCTTGGTGTGGCATGGCTCTGGCACCTTGGTGTGGCAGGGCTCAGGAACCTTGGTGTGGCACGGCTCTGGCACCTTGGTGTGGCAGGGCTCAGGAACCTTGGTGTGGCACGGCTCTGGCACCTTGGTGTGGCAGGGCTCAGGAACCTTGGTGTGGCATGGCTCTGGCACCTTGGTGTGGCACGGCTCTGGCACCTTGGTGTGGCAGGGCTCAGGAACCTTGGTGTGGCATGGCTCCTTGGTTTGAGGAACACATGGTTCCTGGGGTGGAGGCTGGCAGGGTTGTTTCACCTGCTGCTGCTGAAGCTGAGGGGGTGTGGTACAGGGCTGCTTCTGCTGATGGGAACTCATGGTACACAAGAGGCTGGACCTAGAGACAGAACAGATGGTTTACACAGGGAATAACTAGGGAAGGAGCCACATTCAATGCCAGTTCAGATCTCCTAAGAAGCAAATGTTCCCCTTCCTCCATCTATGACTAAGAACACCCTGGCGATTTGAACAGGGGGAACCGAAAGGCAATTTGTTCAGCTCCACTTTTGTTTAGGACCTCTCCCAGTGCTCTCTTCCTTCCTGGCACCACTTAAAACCCAGTTAGCAACGCAACACATCCGCAGGCTCCTGGCAGAAATATGACAGCACAATATTGGGTCACATGGAAATGTGATATGATTTGTGGGGGGAAAAACAACCACCTAGTAACTTCATCCTACCCACACATTTCTGAAAACAGAAAGATTTATCACCTACAGAACTCCACTTAATCCCCCTTTAGCCCCGCTCACATCCTACTCTGCCTCAAGTGCTTCCTTCAGTCTGCTCGTTCAAGTACTACCTGAACATCATGGGTCACAGACAGCCCCTATGATCCTCATCTGATGCCTTAGGAGGCATTTCTAGAGCAAGCCTTCTCCTTCCCAAACTGCACAGCACTTTGCTTGTTCTTACTGCTTTATGCAGGTGACGTTCTACCTTGACTTTCTACTGCCCATGTCTTATTTTCCTGTATAAGTTGTAGTTTCATGGAATAAATTCTTTGCTGTCTAAATTGTTCTTTTCAGCAGACAAAAGTACCAACATAATGCATTCTCTTAAAACACGTTGGCAAAAGAATAAAATTATCCGCATTAAGGTTATGAATAAAGAAAGAGGTATAATGTCACTACAAGTTCTACCAACCAACCCTACGTTAGCAGGGTTTATCTTGCTAATGGAGGGTCTCACACAAGCCAACCCTCTCCTCTCTGTCACCGCAAGAGCTGATGGGACAGCCTTGATAGCATCTTAAGTCACTTCAAGAGCAAACTCTGATTGCATTTACAACAAAGCTATTCCTAGAGGCTATAACTCTGACAACAGAACTTCAATAGTGCCAAGGAGGTTCCAATAAAAAGAAAATACCTGGAGCAGATGGTAAGTGTTTGGAGGAAGGAGAGCCACCTGGTGTGCAGAGAAGAGCAGGCTGCGTGGTCACTCGGGTCTGATGTACTATCCCCAGCCAGCTGGCTTTTTATAGATGGAAACCCGTCTAAAGGAAATGGGATTTTTTTTTTTGACTGCTATGTCTTCATCCTTCACCTATCAAGCATGATTCACCCCAGTCCCCTCATCTACCTGTTGGTTCAGTCTTTGTGATGAAACCACCTACTTGACATGTTTTTGGCACTTGCTGTCTGGCAATGATGTCACTTGGGCCTTGTCCCCAAGGAGGGTCCTTTCCACCCAAGTGGAATGTTTACAGTGAGGGTGGTGTGGGCTGAAAGGCAAGAAGAGAGAGACGTTCTAGGGCTGCCGGATGCCTGTTTTGTGGAGGCCTGAATCCCTGACACAGTCCAGGTTTATTGAACTGCTTGGTATTGGAAGTGGATGTGGAGTTAAGCAGTTGTTCCTGGTTCTGCTGGGAGGCCAAGGGCATGGTCCCATGAACTTCCCCAGGTGGAAAAAAAAGAAATCATTCTCTTTACCCATTCCTAAGTGTACCCAGGTCTGGGAGGGGAAAGGTGAGGCTCAAATGATTCGTTTGGCCCTAAAATTCCTTCACTCCAAGAGAGACCCTCAGAATCAATAGTAGACAAGGGTATGGGGACCCCGATCAGTGATGGGGATGCTGGTCAGTGAAAACCTGGAGAAGACAGCCATGTTCAGCAGCACCATAGAAACCTGGTCCTTTTACCCATCCACTTGTTCTGTCTAATGTGCCAGTGGACCCTGAAGATGCTGCCTCCCAGGAGGACCCCTTCCTGGGAGCAACCCAGGAACATGGGGCCTGCGATTCCTGGACCCTTTATATCAGAGTCCCCTCTGCTTAAGATAAAATGAAAGTGAGGTGACCAATCCAGGCTGCCTTTCATACTCAATCTGTAACAAGCTGGGGTATTTAAAAAATCCAAGTAGTTCTTCAAACCCAGGTGTTTGTGTGCTCTCTCCTTCCTTTACTCTGCCCACCTATATTTTGTGGAGTATCTGCTGACTCCGCAGCTGTGTCACTTCCCCTGAACTGGAGCCAGGACCAGCCAGCCACCACCAGGAGCTTTTCCCACTCATTTCCTAGTGATTATTCTGTTCTTCATCCCCACAAGGTGCTTGATAGATTGACAATTATAGAATAAGTGGATGAATGATGTTATTACTTTTATGAAATACCAGGAGGCTGCTTTGAGAACAGCTAGAAAGTTTCTTTTATTTTTTAAAGAAAAAATATTTTTATTGATTTGAGAGCGAGAGAGGAAGGGAGAGGAAGAGAAGCATCCATTGGCTGCTTCCTGCATGCCTCCTACTGGGGATGAAACTTGCATCCTGGGCATGCGTCCTGACGAGAAATTGAACCAGCGACCCTCTGGTGCATGGAGCAATGCTCAACCAACTAAGTCACAAGGAAGGGCACTAGGCAATTTCTTATAAAAGTCATTAGCCACACAGTATGAGCTGAGACTAGGAGTAAGGGTTAAGCAAGAGGCAGCTGTTTCTGCTACCATCCCCACCCTCCTGTTTCCCTTCTAGAGTTGAAATAGCTACTTCACTTAGGGTTGGACCACTCAACCAGACCTGAGATTAAGACCTCTTGCATCAATTCAGCTCTGCTTTAGGCTTGCGTACAAGCCTCTCCTCCCTAAACCCTATATCTAAGGACCCCGCAAAGGAAATTTCAAGCATGCCCTGCCTCACGTCTTTCCTGTACCCACATCTTTGGTTGCCAAGGGGTAGGGGGAGGGACTGTCATTCATATTCTCTAGGTTTGACCTGATACACCTATCTAACTTGTGTGTCCTTTCCCCCAGACAACACCTTTTCCTTTCTAGCTTCTGAATTTCCTCTTTACCCTACTGCCCTTCTGTCTAAAGTACAGTGAATAGTTGGATACCACACCTTTTTAAACTATACATGGAAGCTCAATTTCTCCACCAGCAGTGCTGAATTGCCAATGAATTTGCTAGAAGCCATATGGCTTCTGATTGCAGCTAGCATCTCCCAAATGCCTCTGACATTTTAATGCTTTTGTCTGGATGCTGCTAATGTTCTTAATTCCCAAAGTCTGATCTTTCTTAGTCTTACTAGTAACTGTACTAGACACCTTCTGGGCACCTCTACAAATTCTCTCTGCCCTACTTTGTATCCACACACTGCCCGTGGACCTTTCAATGGAGGCTCGAATGGGATTTGTGCAAGATCCTCCTATCCCTTCCTGATCTAAGTTGTCTATGATGCTTTAGTGCAGGATACCCATAGAAAATGCACTATTGAGTGCATAATCCAGGGAGAGTTAATGCACATGGAATCGGACTGGACGAATGGTGGTTGTGAGCCAGAGTGATAGGAGGCTGTGGACAAATACTTCTGCCTTCATCTCCAGACAAAGAGTTCTACATCTTCTCACCACATGAGAAAAAGCACACACAAAATATTTTTTTCCAAATGCAAACCACAATTTGATTGCTTCAGAATAGACATAAATCTCAACAACTCAGGCTTGGCTACAGGGGAGATCGCAGCCTTCCTAAGACCTAGCAGGATTAGTTACTTCTCAAGTCTCCTAAAAGGACAAATCAGGGAGTGTCAGGTGATGACATAACCCTGAGATCTCTCCACTGGAATATGTGCTCAGCACTGGAGGCCTGTCTAACCTTGTAGTTTCAACAAATGCTGGTGACAATGGAAAATTTTGAGGATTCTCAACTATAGCTCAAAGGAACTTCTCTAATTCATTCATTCACTTGTTTCCTGAGTGACTATAATAAGTCAGGCAGAGTTCTAGACACTTGGGGGTGTATCAATGAATAACAGTAAAGATCTCTGACCTTGTGGAGTTCACATACTACATGGGAGGATGAAAAGAAGCAGTAAAGAAACATGATGAGTATGCAAATTATGTAAATGCCATGTGAAAAAAAAAAAAGGAATACCCACGTAAGCAATTGAGAGCACCAAAGAGGTGGTGTGTGTGTGTGTATGTGTGTGTGTGTGTGTGTGTACCCTCATTGAGGATGTGATGTTTGAACAGACTTGGGAGATGAAAAGTTAGCTATTAGGCTCTCTGTGGAAACAGTTCCAGGTCAAGAGGATATCCGGTGTAAATGCTTCAAGGCCACAGCTTGCCTGGCATGTTCCAGGGACGCTGTGGCTGGACTGGAGAGATTAAGTGGAAGAGAGGCAAGAGCCGAAGGAAAGTAAGTTTATCCTTTGCTTTTACTTCCTGACGTCAGCCGTCATTAGGACAAGGATGAATCTTTCTTCTTCCAGGGCACCTCTTCAGTCGACAGCAACCATCAGCTCAGAATAAGATGCATCAAGGAGTGCTTCCTCAGGTGCCCAAATGCCACTGACATTTTGTGGACTTTCTTGAAAATGTCCACTCTACACAGGAGGGGATACCTATGAGGGTGGATTAAAGTCACATAGAAGAGGCTTTTGAAGACAGGAATGCTTTCTTAGCAGGCTTTAGTGTGTCATGTGTGATGCCCCAAAAAATGAATTCTGGGATACTCTAATTATCATTTTGATATATATATATATATATATATATATATATATATATATATATATATATATATGTTTTTTTTAATTTTTTTTTTTTTACTTGAAAAATGGAATGGCTGTACTAAATGTTCTTAAGTCTTCTTTCACTCCTGGCATTTTAAATCTTAAAGACCAGTTCTTTTCCAATACTGTGACTGATTGTTCACCTCACCTGGACCATGTATCTCTAATCCCTCCTAAAACTCCCCTCCAGTTTTAAGTCACTGGATAAATCTGTTCCTGTGAGTTAAATTGGTTTAGAAAAGCAGAATGATTACTGTATTTTCCAGCGTATAAGACAACCCACCTAATTTTACAGTTAAAACATAGGTTTAGGCCTATATTCGCTATAGAAGACTACCCCCCACTTCTGAGGCAACACCAGTTCTTTTTTTTAATAGACCGCCTTCTGACTCTGGCCAATCTGAGCAGGCTTTTTACTAGGAGGCTTTTTACTAGCAGGCTTTTTACAGTGTCATCTTATACATCGGAAAATACGGTAGGTTCAAGTATGTAGCAGTGATGTTTTGAAGAATACTCAGGAGACTCGGAGGGCAGGGTCCTCAGGATCAGAGGTGGCTTGGAGCAGGCACCATCTCATGGAACTGAGGCATGACTCAATCCAATGCCCGAGGAGAGTCCTGCTCCAGGCGTGGTTGCCCAAAGTGACAGGCTCTGGGTTCCATTACACAATAGCCATTGTCATTGTTGAGATACCCCCTAAATGTAATCACACACTCATGGAAACACACACAGTACCAGGACAGATAGGTGATGTCTACACCAACTCCTCTCTGATGACAGGTTCTGTCATGATGGAATGGCAGCAAACGGGGCAGAGTCACCCGATGACACATACAGTCAGGAGTGGACACAAAAGTGATTTAATGGAGGGAGAGCAGGAAACAGGCATTTTTTCCCGTTCAGATTCCTTCCACAGCTAAGCCCTGAGCAGCTGAGACCAACAAAACCACTAAGACCCCTGCTTAATTTAGAGGTGCATGGGACCTCTACAGCATGGGACCTCTATAGCACTAATTTTTAGATGCAATTAAGAAAGACATGGTGACTCAGGATGAGAACATACTGACTATAAATTTACAGACAGTTAAGACACCGAAACAGAAGGGAACATGTTCAGTATCCTGTGGTCAGCTCCTCAAGAGCATGGCTGTGGACTACATGGCTTTACTGGATCTTTTGCTGGGATGGGCCCATAGTAACTTGGAATCTTAGTGTGACTCAACTCTTGTACTTGGTGTGGATAAGTTGAGGGACCTCATTTAAATCCTGGTGGCTTCAGCTATTGGTTTGCGGGCAGGATTTGAGGTCCTTGGGCTGTGAGTGTGAGTGGATTGTTGGCTCCAGTGTACCCACCAGATCAAAATTGGGATGGAGCTGTGGGGAGAGATGAGACATATGGGCTACCCAAACCAGGATGTGGCATCCCATCCTTGGGCTGCTGACCTGGGACCTGTTGCAGAGCCTCAGGAATGTTCTTGATTGGCAGAACATAGAATTATTCTAGCAACATCTTCACTGACTTTTGTATTTTCTAATGAGAGTTAAAAGTTCTAAAAAAATCAAATAACATTGTATAATGCATAAAGTGGAAAAACAGAACTATTTAAAAAATGAACACTAACATACAAGCAGCCAGAAATAGCCAGTTACATTTTGCTTTATTCATTGTTGGTATATTTTTGCTTTACTATCTGAAGTGGGTGCATGTGTTTTTTTTTTCTGTAAACCCAGAAACAAGGACCCATTATTAAAAAGATGTTTTTGCTTATATTGTTTAGTACCTGCTTTTGTAATAATATAATCTGAACTTTTCCCAATGAGACTAATCATTTTTCTACAACAATCTTTTTAATGCCTGTAGTATAATCCCAGCATAGACATCTTATTCGCTGTTGCATTATCTATTTAAGCGTCATCAACTTTTTTTTATATTAGATACAATGCTGAAACAAATATCCCCATGTATAAAATAATTGGATAAGTGCATGAATATTTCCTAAAAATAAAATTCTGGAATAAAATGATCATTCAAGAGTCAGGTAGATCTTGAAACCTTTTGATTCTTTCCTTCCAAATTCTTCTTTATGACATTTAAACTATATTTATAAAATCTGTATATTACAGAGTTCATTTCTCCATAAATAATCAGCCTATTTAACTGTGAGTGGTCTGGAGCTATCTCTAGGCTCTTCCACTATTGAAATCAGAAGTAATATGAAGCCACTTCAAATGTGCATACCAGGCAGATCCAAGACACGTCATTCTTTTCTGCCAGGGTGACAATTACTCACCACCTTGTAATAACTTGTTGGACAGTTTCTGTCTTACAGTTTCCAAAGGTCTCTGAGTTCTTGCCAACTCTGTTTGGAGTGCTTGTGCCTCACGTCACTCAGATACTATCTGTCACCCGCCTCACACCTGCTTAGTGTTATGGACCATCAACATTGTCAAGAAATGGGCTTCTCTTCCCAGTGACCACTGCAGCCATTCTGAAATTTTATGTTGGTTTTACTGGTTTTGGAAAAAAAATCTCCCTAAAATCCATAACCCACTCAACAAAGGCCTGCAAATCTATTGGAGCTGAAACTGGTTTGGCTCAGTGGATAAAGCATTGACCTGCGGACTGAAAGGTCCCAGGTTCAATTCCAGTCAAGGGCAGGTACCTTGGTTGCGGGCACATCTCCAGTAGGGGGTATGCAAGGGGCAGCTGATCAATGATTCTCTCATATCGATGTTTCTAACTCTGTCACTCTCTTCCTCTCTGTAAAAAATTAATAAAACATATCTTTTTTTAAAAAAAAAGTGACTGCAGGATAAAGTGAGGGTCTAGATATATAGAAAACTGGGTTCTGGGTGTGATTCAAAAACAATTTCTGGTTGGTCTCGGTCTTCTTTTCCTTTCTGGATATTAGTTTCTTCATCTGGAAATTCAGGGGCTGTACTAGGTGCTATTTAACTCTCCTTTCACTCCTGACATTTTACAGCTTAATGACCTGCTTTTCACCAGTTCATGGCTAGTTATCCAACTCACTTGGATCACATACTCCTCCCTGCAATCTCTTATTCAAACTCAGCTCCTTTTTCTAATCTCTTGATAAATAGCTGTCTGTGGTTTATTTTGGGAGAAACACTATCTGAAGTGGGTGATGTGGTTGTATATATGTTTATATGAGGACCTGAATATTGTATCTCCCAGAGAAGCCATACAAATTCTCTAAGGGGGAGACACTGTATCTTCCCCTCCTTCTTCCTGGTATAGATAGTATCAGGCCTCCCTGCACATGATGGGTACCCAGCAAAAGATAACATTGTCTGAGCTAATGAGGACTGAGCTGTATGAATAATTAGGTGTGTGGGGCTACTTGAATAAATGTGCCTCTTTGTGAGTGTGTGTCTGTATGTGTTGGATGTCTGGAAGGTAAAATGAATGAAGAAAACCAGAATAATTGTTCAAGTATGTAGCAGTGATGTTTTTGGGAATAAGCAGGAGACTTGGGGGAAGAGTCCTCAGGATCAGAGTTGGCTTAGAGCAGGCACCGTGGGACTGAGGCATGACTCAGTCCAGTGCCAGAGGAGAGCCCTGCTCCAGGTGTGAATGCCCAAAATGACAGGCTTTGGATTCCATTACACAATATCCATTATCATTCTTGAGATGCCCCTTAAATGTAATCATACACACACACACACACACACACACACACACACACACACACACACACACACACACACTCATGGAAACACACAGTAACAGGACAGGTAGATGATGTCTACACCAACTCCTCTCTAATTGCAGGCCCTACTCGTGATGGAATAAGAAGGGGCAGATTTACTCACTAAGACAAGCAGCCAGGAGTGGGATTAAAATGCTTTAATAGGCACAGATCAGGAAACAGGCATCGTTCTTCATCCAGACTGACCCTTCAGATGAGCCCTGAGCAACTTAGGACCAGCAGAGCCACTCAGGCCTTCTGCATAATCCAGAGGCTCAGAGAACTCTTCAGAGTGTGCAAGGAAAAGTCTCATAGCAAATATTTTTTTTTAGGATGCAAATTAGAGAAAGACTCTGACTGGTGGTGAGAACATACTGATTACAAGGTCTACAGATAATCAAGACACAGAAGCAGAAGGGAAGAAGGTATTCAGCATCTGGAGATCAACTCCTCAAGGGCACGACCGTGGTCCACATCACTTCTGCTTGGTCTTCTGGTGGGCTGGGCCAGGGATAACCTTTGAAGGAACTGGCTCAGGGTTCTTCTGCTGGCCAGGCTGAGGGACTTTAGGGTGGACTTGCTCAGGAAGCTTGGTGTGACCCTTCTCAGGAAACACAGGGTTGCCTGGTTGAGGATGCTGAGGGTAGTATGGCTCTGGAACTTTGGTTTGGCCTGGTTGAGGATGCTGGGGGTAGTGTGGCTCTGGAACCTTGGTTGGGCCAGGTTGAGGATGCTGGGGGTAGTGTGGCTCTTGAACCTTGGTTGGGCCAGGTTGTGGAACCTTGGTGGGGCCAGGTTGTGGAACCTTGGTGGGGAATGGCTCCTTGGTTATAGGAACGAATGTTTCTTGAGGTGGAGGCTGGGAGGGCTGTTTCACCTGCTGCTGTTGAAGCTGGGGAGGTGGGTTGGAGGGCTGCTTCTGCTGGTAGGAACTCATGGTTCAAAGGAGGCTGGACCTAGAGACAGAAAAGTTGACCCAGTGATTTGGTAAAACAAGGAAAAAGAACAAATTTAACATTCAATGTATCTGCTAGCATGTCCCTTCAGATGTGAGAGCCTCTCTTCTCTCTCTCTCTCTCTCTCTCCTGAATCAATGGAAACTTTGTTGATCCCTGTGCCCTTTCAAGGAGAGAAGCTTAAAGGTGCTTTATTCTGCTCCATATCCGTGGACTCCTGGCCTATCCTTCTTTCATCCTGGTGATTCTGAAAATCTACATTGGAAGCATAACACAACATTGGCTCCCAGGATTGATTGAGTCCCCAGGATTTTAATAATTTGGGAAGATGATAAAGTCAAAAATCTAAGCTCTACCCTCTCAAGTCCACCACATAACTCTCCTAAGAAAACTGCACACCAACCTGCCCTGAGCAGGTTGATTCCAACTCTGACTCTCTGTCCACATTGTCCCTTCTGTGCATACTTTATGGAAGGCTTTCCATACTATTTCTATTTTCACACATGCTCACCCATCCTCCCAGACACTCTTTGCCAAATCCAAGTCACCTTCCTCATTTGCCACAGCAAAATACTGCCTTGTCCTCTCTGTTAATTACTTTTCTTGAAGTATGTTTGTAAATTATGCCCATGTTCTACATTCTTTGATGGATAATAAGTTCATGGAGTAAAGAAATCCTATCTTTTGAATATCCAAATCATCAGTGTCACAATATTTCAAATACTCAGTAATGATTTGAAGTATTAAAAGTCACTAAAAGTAACCTGGGCATGGTTTAGTCTCTATCCTGTAACTGAACAAATCATCATTACAGAAACCATTCCCCTTTTTTAAATCCCAAGTTTCATAGTTAACAATCTGAGTGGGAAGTCCACAGACCTGAATGTCACCTTAAACATAAATTACCATAGCATTTGAAGTAAATAAGTTTTTATCATGATAAACAGACTCCAAACAAATAAAATGCAATTGGGCACATATTAAGAAATTACAAGTAGAGAGACTCACCTGGTGCAGAGAAAAGTTCAAGCTGTCTGGCCTCTTGGGTCTGGTGGGGAGTCTCTGGCCAGCTAGTATTTTATACAAGAGTATGAGCCTTGCCTTAAGGAAGTGGATGTGTTTTTGGACTGCTCTACCTTTATTCCAGCTTTTGTGATGAAAATCTCTGGCTTAACATTTTTGGGCACTTACTCTTTGACAAAGTTATTACCCTGGGCTTGGTCCCACTGTCTACCCTTTGTGATGAGGTTGGTATGGATAACAGGATTCCTGGGTGGTGATGAGTTATGTCAGGGGGAAGTTGTGGATTCTGGGACCAGGAACAAGTGTGTTTCCTGGACAGAAACCTAGTCTTTAGCTCAGATTAATTCTGTTTAATTTTCTAAGCGGATGTGGAGATGAATAATAGGCACTACTGGTTCTTCTGGGAGGCTCTGAAGAGTAGTAGGTGAATCACCTGATCTTCACGTAAGTGACTATTCAGTAAGGGACAATAAGTGAACAATATGCTGTTCCATTTTTTAGCAGATCCAGCCCTTTGGAGGAAAGGAAAGGCTAAAAATCCTGTTTTAGAAGTGAACTGTAAGAGAGAGTTCCTTACGACGCCATGTTGACCAAGGACAGTAGATATCATTGGGGATGGAGAGCCAGGATGGACTGGGTTTGTCAACATGATGCACACCCCTGAAGATCTTGCCTCTCATGGATTCTCTTTTCTCATACACCAGTCATGTTCTCAGATCATGGTAAGATGAAACAGAGGTCACTAACCCAGAGTTGACCTCAACATGAAATCTTTTGCTAGGTGTGCCCCTGGAGAAATCCAAACATCCTTAAAACTCAAGTATGTGGATGGCACCTCCCTTCCCACTTCTTTACTCCTGTGTTACTTACCATGAACTTCAGGCAGAGCCAATACTATGAAGTCCTTCCATCAGTTATCCAAAAGTCTATTTATCCTTACACTAGTCTGATAGATGCTCAGTCAATGGAAAATTGTCATTTTCCCTGATGGATGTGTAGTTTCATGGAAGGAAGGAAGGAAGGAAGGAAGGAAGGAAGGAAGGAAGGAAGGAAGGAAGGAAGGAAGGAAAAGTCATTGTTTTAGAGAGATGTCTATAAATTGATAATCATAAAGCAACTACTTGAAAATGACTCACTTTCTTATGACAGGTCTCATGATATAATCTGAGAAGAGGGTGAGGGTTCATCATCCTCTTCCCCTGCTTCCTTTCCCACCCATCTTCTCTCTGCTAGTGTTGGACTAGTCACCTACCTCTGGGATAGTGCCAGTGCCATCATGATACCTAAACTCCACTTCCTGGTATCACATTAGCTCTCCTCTGGGGTTGGGTCTCAGGAACCCCTGACAGAAGGAGCTTTATCCAGGCTCTGCTGTTTCACCTGGGATTCTTATGTCCTGAAGTACCTACTCCTCTGTATGAATTTGGGTCTTTCTTGTGTCCTATCTTGATTCTGGACTTTGGTTCTAGAAGAAATGCCTTTCTCATTTTCTATTTTTCTTTCCTGAGTGGTCTTTCTCCTGCCCTGTCCTGATATCTTGTTCACTCTTATAAAAGCCTCTCTGGCTTCAGCCTCTTAGGACTTCTAATTTTACCCAATCCTGTTGTTCCTTTTTGTTTGGACAACATACTCAGTGTCTGGGTGTTAAGGCTCTTTCCACCCTTCAGAGAAGCTTGGTTTGTTCACCAGTGTGCATGCACTAAGGAGACTGACCCCCACTGCAGAGCGGGAGTCCCATCACTTCTGATGGAGAGTCCTGCTTCTAGAGGGGCGTTGACCTTTCCTGACCCCTTTGCTGGCATTCGGAGGCTGCTTCTTTCCCCATATCCATGGGCTAGGCCTCGCTTGAGACCTGAATGTGGACGATATTGGGTAACTTTAAAAGTCACTGGGTCTTGATTTTTTTTATCATGACTGTGTAGATTGTTCCCACATAATTCCTTGGACTCTTTTTTTTTTTTTTTTCTTGAGCCTAGGTTCCAGCATAGCAACAGCCTGCAGCCCAGTAGAAACTCCCTTCCTGAACAGTTCTCATCTAAACCAGATACTGTCTTCTGTTTTCTTTCACATACATGGAGACTCAAGATGCTGCTGGGACAGAGGAAACCAAGACCTTCCCATGCAGAGAACCAAATGTACATGTCTTTATCTGCACAGGTGACATCTGCATCCAAGCCAGAAACATGCAGTTTATCTCCTATGTGTAGTTTGTACCTCAAATTCCTCACACAGACACAGTATCTTACCTTCTCCTGTTGGCATTCTAGAGATGAAGAGGAAGGAGCTAGGGAAGAGGAGGAGCTCAGACCGGTCAGAGAACTCTACCTCTGCCAAGTAACCTTGAGGTCACAGGTTCAAGGCAATGGGCAAGACTGGAATCCTTGGTTGTGAGTGTGGTGGAGGGAGTGGTGTTCTGGGGATTTTTCACAAAAAAAGATTTAGGATTGTATTGGGGTTTATATGGGATATCATTTTTTAGAAGATGTGATCCTCTCCCCACCCTTTGGGGTTGCTGGCCTAGAAACTTGCTATAGGACTCATGAAGTTTCTGGAATAAATGTTTCCTCTACTTTATCAACATCTTGGAGTTATTTGATTTTTTTTAATATTTAAAACAAGTGTCAACAATAAAAATATTTTCAATTTATGGTATTGAAAATGATTAAAATATAGGGGTGTTCAAAGAATAAAATAAATAATTCCTTTTACTGTCCAGCCTAACATAGCCACTATTGATATTTTGCTCTATTTATACTAGCAGATTTTAAAAGATATGCATGGAGACATACATTTTAACAAAGGTATAACTATGTAATTATGTGTTATATGCCATTATATTTTACATGACCTTGATATTGTCTGCACATTTTTTCATATGACTAAATATTACTTTATGACCTTAGTATATTCCATGACATAGATACACAATAACTTGTTCAATTAATTTTCTCTTTGGCGGAACTTATTTTGTTTTCCTTCCATCCTTTTCTTTCCCTTTTTTTGTTATTATAATACATTGTTGAAATAATTCTCCTTATAAATAAATCTTTGTGCTCATCAATGCATATTTCCCAGTGGAATACAGAGGGTATGCAAATGTTTAAGGATTTTGATTCATTTTGCTCAACTCTTCCTATGATGGTTCCTTGATTTTATACCCTTCCAACTGCGTATCACCAGTCAGTGTCTCTGACTGTGGTCAGCCCATTTAAGGTTGACTGCTCCTGTAGATATTAGTGACATTTTCCATCATGTCAATGTGTAATAATTTGAAGTCACCTGAACATGTGCAAACCTCACAAATCCAGATAATGTTGTCCTCTCCTGCCAGTCTGATAATGACTCCTGAACCTGCAGAGCTCTGTTGAACACTTTTTCTCTTAACATCTCCAAATCTGTACTTCTTCCCAGACCTACCTGAAGGCTGTCCATCATGCAGGTACTAATGTTGACCCCTGGATATCCGTTTGTTGATTTGGAACATGAATGAGCTGTGACAGATGCTCTTTAAGCCTTTCATATTACATCTTAATGACCTGGTCTCCCTCAACTTTATGGTGACTTTTTGTCTTATCTGTATTAACCTCTGAAACCTTCCTAAATGCTTATTTTCTTTTTTTTCCTTTGATTCATTTGCTTTTATGTTCTACTCTGTGAGGTACCTATATGTGTGTGTGGATGGGGAGAGAGAGAAAGAGAGAAAAAGAGAGAGAGCAGGCACTGCGGAGTCTACTCTCCTGCAGCTCTGAGGTCTTCATATTGGGCATTCAGTGAAAGATAATCAGCATGCATATGTGTGTGTTGTGTGATTTGGGGCATTTGTGTTGTGTGTAGTGTGTGTGTGTGTGTGTGTGTGTGTGTGTAGGAGTCTACCTATATGTGTTTCTCTATCATGAGAGTATGGGTAGGGATGTGTGTGTGTGTGTGTGTAGGAGTCTACCTGTATGTGTTTCTCTGT